AACAACAGTTACCAAGCAAACAACAATATTTCTATCATCTGGTTAGGAATTAATTCCCCATATATTCATTTCCATTTATTTTGTATTTATTTTTGGTTCATTTTTACACAAATAAAAATGTGAAAGATTTGGGTAAAAAACACAAAATTGTGCTGAAATTCAGCAGTAATCAAGATAGTAAAAATTAAGAAAACAATCAAAGACACTGTTCTCTAACCAAACACAAAATTTGTAACTCCAGTGATACTAAGCACTGGCAGTGAGAACTCACACACTGTTCATAGGAGTAAAAATTGGTGTAACTACTTTGGAAAATACTGTCACATTATTTACAAAAGTTGAAAATGAACAAACCCTACAATTCAGGAATTCTACTTTCAGATATATTTAGCCTAGAAAAATTAATGCATTTGTGCACCAGGATACATGACCAAAATGTTCCCATTGGTATAATTCGTCACCACCCCAAACTGTAGATAGGCCATATAAATGAACATGAAAAAATAGATTGGATAATTAAATTTTGTATGTTCTATTGGGTTATCTGTCTTTTTCTTACCAGTATCTGGAAAGTTTAAAATACACACACACACACACACACTTATAAGTGTGTGTGTGTGTGTGTGTATTTTAAACTTTCCAGATACTGGTAAGAAAAAGACACTTATATATGTGTGTGTGTATATATATATATATATATATATAGAGAGAGAGAGAGAGAGAGAGAGAGACACATATATATGTGCACACATGTGTATGCATATGCATGTACAATAACTTTTTTCCTTGATTAAATGTGCTACAAATATCTTATCCCCACACACACATGATGTTTGGTGAAATAATCACAGACTAACAACCGAGAAATTCTATGTCATGAACAGAAGGCAGAATTCTTGAGCTTGGATCTAGATACTTGATTGGTGAGATCCTACAGGAATTTGTCTGTAAAAGTATGATTTCTCTATAGGGATGCAATTACTCTCAAAGGCCCAGCCTCTTCACTTTGTTTGATGACAAAAAGTTCCAATTTCCTGTAGAAGTAATGAACTGAGACATTGCTGGCTCACCCTCTTCTAATCTGAATGGTCGATTTCTGACCAGCTCCTGCCCACATGGCATGTGCAATCCTACCTCCATACCTGAGTTCTGATGGTTGATAAGGAACTCACCATTCAGCTCTGCTTATAATATTTTTACCAACAGCAACACTATAGTTAAAAAGAGGGTAGCAATTCTGAAGATGCTTTCTTACCCATTACCTCCTTTGGCCCTCAAAACACCCTAAGGAAGGTATGGCTATGCTATCAGCTTCACTTTGATGATAAGAAAATTGGCTCAGAGATAAGTGGCTTATACCAGCTTCACCACTGGCAATTTGTAGAGTTTTGACTGGAAAATAAGACTGGAATCTTGAAATTTTGGGTTCTATCTACATTATTCTTTCAGAGCTGGGCTCAAGTCTTACCTCCTCTGAGGATCTTCCCCTTCACACAGGATTCTTCCTTGTCCCTGATGAGTTCTAATTATTATTTTCTATACTACTCATTTGATAATGGCCACAAATACCTTGAACTATCATCTACATAGAGGTATAGCCTCTGTTCCACCACATTATTTGTAAGTTGCTCCTGGAAAGCAGGAACAATATTGAATATCAGTTGGCTTCTTCATCAACTTTACACCATGTCTTTTCTGCAAATTGTGTCCAGTTAACTAACATTGGTTGAGGCTTGGCTATCACTGTGGGCTGCATTACTCAAAGAGCTGACTCTACATGACAAAAATGAAAAGAAATATGCCCTGATCCACTCATGCTTTGTGGAATACTGGAAAAATTATTGCTGGTAAAGTTATTGCAAAGCATAGATGAACCTGGAAACCATCATTCTCAGCAAACTGACACAAGAACAGAAAATCAAACACCTCATGTTCTCACTCATAGGCAGGTGCTGAACAATGAGAACACACACACACAGGGAGGGGAGCATCACACACTGGGGTCTGTGGGGGAGAACTAGGGGAGGGACAGCGGGGGGTGTGGAGTTGGGGAAGGATAACATGGGGACAAATGCCAGATATAGGTGATGGGGAAAAAGGCAGCAAATCACATTGCCGTGTATGTACCTATGCAACAATGTTGCATGTCCTTCACATGTACTCCAAAACCTCAAGCACAATAAAATATATATTTTTCAAAAAAGTTATTGCAAAGTGCATTACATCAGTCAACATATATGCAGGGGGCTTTATTCTGTGGAAGTAGGAATTACATCTTATAGCTGTGCTTGTTTGTATTCTTCAGAGTGCCTTCCACGTGGCAAGGACTCATCATGAAAGATTATAAGTGATTTATACATGAAATAAGACCTCCATTGAAATTTACTAACATACACGATGATTTATTTTTTTCAGAGCCTTGGTCAGGGAAGACAAAGACTCAGTTTCAGATCTCGATTTCTCCTTCTAACAGGAGACAGGTAAGTTAACTTCTCAAAGTTTTGATTTCCTTTACTGCAAAACTAAAGCACAAATAAATATATCACGGTGAACAAATAAAAGTAGCAAATGTCTTTTTATACAAAAAGAACTTTATAAAACATAAAAGAGTGTCAAACCAGATTTGGTCCTTGGCGAGTTTAAGCAAGTTAAACTGTAAAAATCAGAGTTCCCAACTGTGAAATGAGAGGATTGGTTTAGATAATTTTTAAATTCTTTCAGCCTTTGGCTAAAGAGTCTATGACTCTGAAATTCCAGCTGCAATTGCCAAGGAATCTAACATTTTAATTTTTCATTATACATAAACCTCAACGAGTCCTCTAATGCACAAAGGGAATATCCTATTTTGAATAATTCAATTATAATCTCTTTTTAAAAGAATAAGGTAGCCTGATATAAATAACTGCGCTGATTTATGAGTTTTCACATTCTCTTTTGAACATTTCAGGTAGGAAGTCCCTATGCCTTTATTGCACTGCATTGAGCTGCAGGCCCTACACACGGGGTCTCTCATTCATCAGACCATTCCTGCAGGGAGAGGGTGGGTGTTGCTATTAACCAAATATGCACTGAGTCTCCATCTGACAAATTTCCTATGTGGAAAGGAAGAGCTCCCCACAGTAATGTGTAGTTTGTGAATTGATGTCCTGCTGCTGAGAAGACATCTCCTTCTGAGTAGCTTCTATAAATGAATACCCAAGTAATGTCAGCTTGAAATGTGTCTGCTGTAGAGCTGGGAACTTGGAGGGCAGGAAGTTACACAAGGAATGAAAATAAAAGCTAGGACTTGGATGGGACGAGCTTCACCTAGCTGTCCTTGCCATTTTTGCTCAGGCAGCTCAAGAGCCAAAATGAGAAGCCCACGGATAGCTAGGTGAAGAGCTAATATAGGAATCTCAATGTTATGAAATATACATTCATTATCATGGGAACATCTACATATTTAATTTCATGTTACCCTCACACTCTATCCTGTACATTGCGCTCAGTGAAACTAAATGACTTTCTTGAGGTCATACAACTGATGAAGAATAGTTAGAATTTTCATCCAGCTTTTGATACTACTCTTTTATACCTATTTATAGTCAGATGAAACACTTGTTTGAGGTGATTTCAACATAAAATATAAATATGTAAGCATTGGGCCCTTGACTGTTAGGAGACCCACACTTTTCCTGCCTAAACTGAGGTATAGAGGCATAAAGATATATGTCCATAAGAATGATAAAATGGACTTTGGGGTCTCGATGAAGGAAGATTGGGAGGGAGGGAAGGAATAGAAGACTATATATTGGGCACACTGCTCCGGTCATGGTCTCACTAAAATCTCCTTGCAGGAACTTATCCATGTATCCATGTAACTAAAGAACTTATCCATGTAACCAAAAACCACTTGTCCCCCCAAAAACTATTGAAATAAAAATTAAAATTATAAAAGAAGGAAACATGCACAGATACACATCTTAATAAATGCTGGAATAGTTATATAGACTCTAGACTTTAATTTTTTATAGAGCTCTGTAAGGCCTATTGGTGAGAAAAGTTCTTGCTTGGGCTGGGCATAGAAAGAAGTTAGGAAGGAAAAAGGGGAGAAGAAGAAAGAAAGGCAGTAAAGAAGGAGGAGCAGGAAGAGGAGGGAAAAAAGTCAATTATACCAAGTAGGAAAACTCTGTGGCTGAGACTAGAATGCACCCAGTGCTTGAACAGCTGTTTCCCAGGCTCTTCTCCAAATGCAGGCGCTCTTGAGCTCTGTTGATTTCAATGAAAGAGATTCCTATATGTAGTGGATCCTAGCCTGTAAAGGCTGTTCTTCTTTGTGTGTTGCTGGATGGGCCTCATTGCTAAAGAAGAGGGGAGGGAGGAGGGTGAACTGGGCAGATATAGGTTTTACAGGCCTTGGGCTCAGAACCTCCTAATCTTTCCAGGTGATGGCAACCATATGCCAGAGAATGCTATCTCCATGTTCCTCATGTTTCACGGCTCCTTCTTTGCTCTTTTGCCCAGAAGACTTACAATTTATCCTCCTCAGACAGAGGCTGCCCTGTGCATAATGGACTTGAATAATCTCAAAACTGAATTGATGTTTTATACCACCTGAGTTAGCCAACCAAGATTTCTGGCTTTCATCTATAAGGTAAAAATTAATTTGTTGAGTTTTCTGGGGAGATTTTGAAACCATGACCCATTGTGGCGACTTAGATTAACTGTAGTTATAAACACCATCAGGTAGTTGATGTGTGAGAAGTGGGATTAATCACCATTCCCTTCCCAAGCACACACATTTGCTCAAACCATCTAGTACATGAAACAAGACCTGAAGGTGGACTAGCACTGTGCGTCATCGTGCTGTTCCTATCTTAAGAAGCAAATTTCCAGGCAGGCTTTTTTATTCTTGTAGCATCTAATTACAGAACACCAGAAAGCAATGGAGACCCAGAGGTGAGCTGAATTATTGAAAAAATAAAAGCAAAGATGGCCCAGAAAGCTATTACACATCTTCATAATAGATTCACCAAACTTAAGGGTGCTAAGAAATGCAAGCATTTAATTCAGAAAACAATTATATTTTTTATAACTCTAGAGAAAATAGCTTTTTTTCTCTAAACCTTCTGGAAGTTTTGGTAATTATGTTAGAAACAAGAGTCACAGAATATAGTGTAGGCTCTCTGAAGAAAGGTTAAGGTTTAAGTCATTCATCTATTAAAATGTTTCCATACGTCTGTATACAACAAGGTTTATTGTTTCCCCAACATCTTAGCAAAAGGGAATGACAATTGCAAAGGCACATGACCAGTGAGTAAGGGTAGGAATGTGGGTAGAGAAGGGAGAGTATGAGGTTGCAAGGATTTAATCTTCAGCCACCTGACTCTTGATTTAGTGCCCTGTCCTTTAAATTACAGCTTTCTCTGAAATATCATTTAAAGTATTGAAACGTCCTTTGTCTACATTAGAAAGTCCAACTTTCAAACTCACAGAACAAAGAAATAAAAAACAATACCGCATGTTTAGTTGACAAATATTATAAATGAAAGTGGGATCTCTACACCAAGTTTAACAGTGAATGAAAAATTCTTACAGTTAAAAATATGGTTAGGAAAATTCAGCACATTCAGTTGTATGCTTCCATCTTCTGCTTTGAACCACATCAAAAAACTATATCAAGAAAAGCTTAACTGTCTCATGTTGCTCTTCACTAAATACAAGATTATCTTTGTAAGTAAGACTTTTCAGTGCACTGCTTTTTACATCTTCTCCTGATAGCAGAAGTAACCACTGTTCTTGGGGAAGAAAGAACTGAAACAAACCAGACCTTAAATGTCATGATGGCATTTAGGAGTGGGAGAAAGTTTATCCCTTAATTGCTTATCTACTTCCCACTCACACTTAATATTGGGGGTAAAGTTTGCTGAGTATTTTCCAGAGAGCACTTTTCACTTCTTTGTTCCTAAGGCTGTAGATCAAGGGATTCAGCATAGGAATCACCACTGTGTAAAACACCGAGGCTATTTTGTCTGTGTTCATGGACTGGCTGGAGTTGGGCTGTAAGTACATGAAGATGATTGTGCCATAGAAGATGGACACAGCAGTGAGGTGGGAAGCACAGGTGGAGAAGGCTTTCTTCCGCCCTTCAGCAGAACGCATCCTTTGAATGGTGATGCATATGAAGAAGTAAGAAATGAGGATGACCAGGAGGGTGAAGAAGACGTTGAAGCCCACCACGAAGAAGACCATTAACTTGCTGATGTGTGTGTTGGAGCATGAGAGAGACAGGAGTGGGGGAATGTCACAGAAGAAATGATTAATCTCATTAGAACCACAGAAGGAGAGTCTGAAGGTGCCCGCTGCATGGATAGAGGCATTGAGGAAGCCAGAGACATAGGAACCAATAGCAAGGAGGGCACACACACCTGCTGTCATGGTGGCGGTGTAATGAAGGGGCCTGCATACCGCTGCGTGGCGGTCGTAGGCCATGGAGGCCAGGAGGTAGCACTCAACAGTGGCAAACCCCACAAAGAAGAAGAACTGAGCTGCACATCCATTGTAGGAGATGACCTTGTCCCCTGACTGCAATGCATCCATTGTTTTGGGGGCTACAGCTGATGAGTAACCCAAATCTACAAAGGAGAGGTTACTGAGGAAGAAGTACATTGGAGTGTGGAGATGGGAGTCTGAGTGGATGATCACCATCATTCCCCCATTCCCAACCAGCGTGATGAGGTAGATGAACAAAAATGCCAGGAGGAGGGGTATCTGAAGATCGGGGTCATCTGTTAATCCCAAGAGGATAAACTCTGTGACTTCTGTGCTATTCTCCATTGTGACAAATTTGAATTAGCCTGATGATTAAAGAAGAGGCAGCAACAAAATTCAAATGAAAGTATAAGAGGGGATTATGGGATGATAAAAAGGTAAAAAACTAGTGTATCGAGAGAATGTACTGTGTGTAACATTCATGCTAGAATCTTCTGGTATATTATAGCTTTTAACTCATATGAGATAGGTGCTATTATGCCCATCTTACAGATAAGAAAGTTAAGACTCAGGGAGCTCATTATTGAACGACATAGTCCATTTAGAGGTCAGAACCAAAGTTCGCCCCTTCATATTGCTGAATCCAAAGTCCATACATTCAGTTTGAACTCCTCAACATGTTTACATCATATAAAGTCAAATTATGGTATGGATATAACTTTGTATGTATTTAATTATTAAACATTAAAAAAATCCATCACTCATTGTCTTCCACATTTTACTGCCAATAGTATAGCCTCACGAAAGATTTTCCAAATTTCTTTCTCCTTAAAACAACACAAATTTATTCTCTCAAAGTTCTGGAGGCCGGAAGTCTCGAATCCACTTCACTGGGCCAAAATCAAGGTGTTGGCAGGACAAGGTCTGTTTGATACTAAATCCAAAGATCTTAACCACAACTTCTGATGCCTTTATAAATTATTCCCTAAACAATAGTTCAACCGAAAGGGAATATGGTATATGTAAATGTGAGTATGTATTTATATATATTTAGTATAAAACTATGAACTTAATATATACAAATGTTATTATTTATCTGTGTATATGCATATGTATTTTTTTCACCCCTCATAGGAAGTCTTTGTTGTAGACCCTAATTATAGTCAAGTCCTTCCTTCTCTGCATCTTCAAAGCACTTGAGTCTTGGCTGATTATCGCACAATGAGTTGGGCAACTACTCACTCTTCAGCTAGTTCTAAGCCCCTTGGGACAGTAAATGTCTTCATCCTTTCTGGTCCACCACCCTGCCATGACCCCTCACATGCATATATAAATATTTGGTGAATCAAACAGAACATCAATCAGAAAGTGTGTAAATATTTCTCATGCTCGATTCCACAACAAACAGACTGTTGTCCTCTTGTCTCGCTGGGCTTGTGCTTTGGGACAAAATATTAGCTTAGACTTGTCATATGAAAACTATTCAGGAGTAAAAGTGAGTTTGCAGATGGTCAGGCCTGGAGACAGGCTTGTGTCCTAATTTAGACCACTCTTTCTCTCCTATTTCTGTTCTTCATCCTGAGGTGTTCAGGGCTTTTCCTACTCCTAGTAGCAGAGTGAATGGGAGCAGACTCAGAAGAAGTGAGAGAGAAAATGCGGGAAGAGAGGAGGGAAAGGGGGAAAAGAAAAGAGGAATTAGAAGGAGAAAAATGCTTCAGCTCTGCTAGACTTTAGCTTACCTTGGAGAGTAACAAAAAGAAGGGGATAGCATAGCTTGTCGTTTTGGATGGCCATGACACACACATGATGTGGCTAGTTTCAGAAGAACTGGCTCAGTCAGCTTGGTACATTACTACTCAGTTATGTACCAATTGACTTTTTGACCAGCAGCATTTTCCATTATATTTAGCCAGGCTTTTTGACTTTTTTTTCTTTTGACTTTTGACATGTGTGTATACTCTCTAATTCAGCAGACACAATATCCTGTAATCTATGACGGGCAGTGTTCTGATCTTACATATTAGGAAACAGAAGGATTTGGTGTCCCTCAAGGTCACACAACTACTTAACTGTAAAATCTGTACAATTCCAGAGCCTGATTTTCCAGGCTCAGCACTATTGACATTATGAGCTGGACAGTTCTTTGGTTCAGGGTGTGGTGGGGGTGGGGGAGTGCTGTCCTGTGCATTATAAGATATTTAGCAGTTTCCCTGTCCTCTCTCTACCTACTAGATTCCAGTAACACCACCACCTCTCATTTGCAACTGTCAAAAATGTCTCCAGACGTTGCCACATGTCCCCTGAAGAGTAATATTCCCCCTATTGAGAACCACTATTCTAAAGTTTATAAAAAACAGTGGTTCTAAAGTTTATAAAACTCTTTTTGCATTCGCTTCTTAATTTAATTATTGCATGACCAGATAGATAGATAGATAGATAGATGATAGATAGATAGATAGATGATAGATAGATAGATAGATAGATAGATAGACAGATAGATGGATAGATAGACAGACAGACAGGCAGGCAAGCAGACAGACAGACAGACAGACAGACAGACAGAGAGATAGAGAGATAGACAGATAGATAGATAGATAGAGAGTTAGATAATAGATAACAGATATAGACATGAAGAAACTGAGGCTCAGCAAGGTGAAGTGACTGGTTTAAGGTCTAGAACTCTGGCCAAATATTACTGCTTATTGGTAGAGGGAACCCAGGAAGGGATAACTGCTTGCTAAGTACTCTGGTCCTTTAACTAAAGAGATATTAGCCCTCATATATCTACACCAACCTTTTCCTAGACACAAGGTAGGACGAAAACCTGGAAAACTCCAATAATAAAATGCAGCTGACTTAGGGTGGATTCTGAATTATTTTCCAAAATACCCTCTCAAATGCTTATTAGATCAATGTCCTTGGTTAATATTGACCACAGGAGTCTATTCACTTAAGCTGTAGGTTCAGTTTCTAAAAGCCATTACACATCCCCCATATTGAACTGCCTCGGACTGCCATCTTCATCTATCAGCAATTAATATTCAAGGTACTTTCTGTGTTCCCTTGATGGGCAACCCTTTCCATTATGCATTGCAGTTGCTGTTAATAAATGTGTTGAGATCCAGAGCAGCAGGGAGAAATCTGGAGTCAGGGCAGAGAGAAAGGGCTATTTACACAGTACCAACCCTGGAAGCCTGCAAGGCCTGAGTTCAAATCCTGCTGCTGCTGCTGCTGCATCTCCTCCCACTCCAGTCCTGCAAAACCCAGGCTTTTCTGCATGGGCCTAAAATAAATTTTGGAAGGAGTCTTGAAAGAAAAAAAATATTTTTAAAATATCTAAGGTTGAATACTGAAATATGTAAGGTTAAAATATTAAGTTTAAAACTAAAATTTAATGAATTATTGTTATAAAGAGAGAAGAAGAAATCTAAGCCATTAAGATAGCTTGGAAAGAAAAATTTCCATGAAAATTGCTTCTAAAGGGGTTTGAAGCATCACCCCCAGTCGTCACAGCCCCATTTGAGGAGTTCTAAAGAAGACTCTCAATGGAATAAATTCCATAAGGGAAGAGACAAGGTCTGTATTGCTTGTCACTGTTTTGTGCATTATCATCCACCACTACATTCGAGGCAGCAATAGAGTAGACTCAACTATTTGTTAAGTGGTTGAGTGAATTCGAATATCAGCAGTTGAGTTAGAATACGAGCTTTAATGCTCACTTTGGGACTATACGCAAGTCAATGTTCCTTTGCAGACAGAAGATAAAGTAAGATAAAATATAAGAAAACCCAGCTAGTATGTGGCCTCTAGCAGGTGCTTAACAGAAACAAATTAATCAATCCTTTTTTAAATTGTAGGCCACATGTGTGAACTTATTTCCCAGGTTTTATTAATACCATTTGGTAGCAACACCCCTTCTAGCAATGACTATGGCGATGGCTGTCTAAGTAGAGGTGACTCAGAATCACCTGTGAGAAACTTCTGTCTCTGTTCTTATGAAATGTAGCAGAGGAGGTTGGGGAAAATTGAATTAAGAGTCTTTTTATATACCTACTTCTGAGCCTCTTTCTTTTAGAAAAATCTATTATTTCTACCCACGATGTGAAGAATACTGCTTTTTAAAAAGGTCAGGGAAAACATACCTATGTCCTTGGGAATTATGAGATCTCAATTCAGAACTGCTTCAACACTGGACTTTTTGAAGTCTGAAAAAAGAAAAGAAGAGTTGTTGGTCTCTGAGGACCTTGGATTTCAAATAGTGAAAGATTTCCTGAGGCTATGTGATAAAAGTGTAAAGGCAGTTCAGCTGCTGCAGTTTGCTTGCGACCCTAAGTGAGCCATAGCAAACTATGTGAGAAGTCTGAGATCAGCTAGAAGCTGGTGCCTATGTAGATTTAGGAGCCTCTGAAGCGGGGTTACTGGGTTCCCGGGTTCCCTAAGGTCTCAATTCCAATCCAGGGCTCAGCAACATACAAACAAGCAATTATAACAACACTTTCTTGAGGGAACTGAAACATTATTATGATATGGAGGCACCTCAGAGGTCCCTTAGGGGCCACAGGGGAGTCTTGGTTCTTCTAATCACGGGCCAAGATTACTGATGAGAAAATTCTGTCAAAAAAATGCTTTCAAAGGAGCTTGAGGATCCAGCCCCCTTGCACACTCAGCCCACAGATTTCCTGTGAGTATTGGGAGCTGGCCCTTTATCTAAGACTAAATGGGGAGACATTTTCAAAATGTCAGAGTATAAATGATAAATTTTATCAGAATTTCCATTTTCCCAAACCTAGCTCTGTCTACAGAACTCAAAGTTCCAAAGAGCTCTGTGAATCAAAACACTTCCAAGAATTTTTTTTTCCCAATCAACTTGGTTTTAAATAAATTTTAACATGGAGCTTACGAGAAGCAAAGGATTTCTCTATTTCAGCCTCTACTAAATGTATATGTAAAAAAAATATATTTACATATTATACGTGTTATATATTTATATATTATAATACATAATATAGTTTCCTATATTTCAAGCCCTTTGTTCAGTATATACCTGTATGTGTTATTTCACTTAATGTTCATATAGCTCTATGAGAAATATATTATCTTTCCAATTTTACAGATGTGAAAACTTCTACACATACCTAGCAGTTAGATTTTTTTCTAATATTATTCTCTAATAAAAGAAACCAAGGCTGCTTAGAGGAATAGCTGGTTCTAGCAGTGGAGCAGGGAATATACCAGAGAAGCCCGGAGCATCTTATAGTTCCAGAAAGTGAGGAAATGCTCAAGTCTGTCTGACCCAAATTCTGTATATTTTTACACTGTGCTCTACTGCTTCTCTTGGGAATAAATGTGGAAAAGCAGAGATGCTCTCAGAATCTAGAAAATGATATTTTCTTAGGTTCTCACAGATCCATGTTCCACTACAGTCAGTTACAAAAGTAGAGCTTATTTACTCACTTTTTCTTTTCTTTTCTTTCTTTCTTTTTTTTTTTTTTTTTTTTGAGACGGAGTTTCGCTCTTGTCACCCAGGCTGGAGTGCAATGGCGCGATCTCGGCTCACCGCAACCTCCGCCTCCTGGGTTCAGGCAATTCTCCTGCCTCCGCCTACCGAGTAGCTGGGATTACAGGCATGCGCCACCATGCCCAGCTCATTTTTTGTATCTTTAGTAGAGACGGGGTTTCACCATTTTGACCCAGATGGTCTCGATCATTTGACCTCGTGATCCACCCGCCTCGGCCCCCCAAAGTGCTGGGATTACAGGCTTGAGCCACCGCGCCCAGCCACTTTTTCTTTGCTCTCATGAAAACATTTCCAAGAAAAAGCCCACTGTTAGAATACTCTTTTTTAACAAAAGAAGACATATAAAGTGGCCAAGCAGGTGGAAAGCTAGGTGATAGAAGTCCAAGGATGTTTTTGCATGCTCTTGGAATTTTGTACCATCTAATCACCTGACCGACATGTTCGCCTCTAAAAACTTAGGTTTCTTCCTCATTATTTATTTGACCAATATAACAACCAAGGAAAAAAACTAGAGAAAGAAAGAGGGGAAAATGGGGGAAGACAGATAAAGAGAGAAAGCAAAGAAAAGAAGGAGGGGAGGGAAGGGGAGAGAAGAGGAAGAAAGGGAGGAGAAGAAGATGAGGAAAGAAGAGAAACTTCACCTGTCAGTTCAACACTAACAACGGAGACAATCTAGCCTATATATCTGACTTCATAACATAGTTTAGTAGTCTCCTTTATCAGTGTTTAATATTCTAAAAAAATCAAACAGATAAAAACGAAGACCATTAACACGGTGAAGTGGGTGATTCTGGGTTTTGACAAGTAAGAGGCCTAGAATCAGCCACTTATGAACGGATGACAGATGAATCATTAATCTTTTTGAACCTAATCAGTTTTTCATGGCACTGAATATATCCTCTTTCTTTTCCCTCCAAAGACTCTTAATTCCTGGGAAATACTTCTGCTTTTCCGCTTTAATACCTCCAGCGTCTTCACTGTTTGGTCTCCTCACGAGATCAATTTGACTCTTCACCTCCAAATAGTTACACCTTGGGGTTTTAGAAAAAGTAAAACGCAGGGAGGGCCAATTCTGACTTTGGGATTACTTCAAGGCCAGGTACCCGGGTCTGTCCATCCATATTTGAGTTAATGCTGCCACCTTGAGGCCATCTCAAGCTTTTCGCCTGATGAGCCGTTCCCAGTGGTGGGGCTGGGAAAATGAGGACTCGTCCTCTTCCTCGCAGCACTGACCAGTAAGTTCATACAGGAAAATGCTTTGGAATTACAAGAAAAATCAAGAAACTACCCTCTGCCTAAAGGGTAATTTCATGACCACATAGAATGGTAGCGCCTCTTAGGACCTTGGAGATCACAGCCACCACAGCCCACAGGTGACAATTGCAGTTAGAGCCAAATGCATCAGTTCAAATCCCAACTCTCCCTCCCAGTTCCTGGAGGGCTCTTACAAGTCACTTAGTCTCTCCATTGCTCTCCTTCTCATCATGGGGCTGTTGAAAATGAAAGTTAATCAACACAAAGTACAAATAAACTCCAGAAATACTGGGGATTTAGTTTCAGAACACTCCAATAAAATGAATATCACAGTAAAGCAAGTCACCATTATTTTTTGCTTCCTGGTGCATATAAAAGTTGTGTTTACACTATATTGTGTCTACTAGCATTATGTCCAAAATATGTTTAATTTGAAATACTTTATTGCTAAAAAATAATGATAATCACCTGAGCCTTCAGTGAGTTGTAATTATTTTTTGCTTGTTGGGGACCTTGATGGCTGCTGACTGATCAGGGTGATGCTTGCCGAAGGTTGGAGTGGTTGTGACAGTCTCACAAAATAAAACAACAGTGAAGATTGCTGCATTGATTGACTTTTTTTTTTTTGGCAGAGTCCCTCTCTGCCACCCAGGCTTGAGTGTAGTGGCGTGA